ATTAAGAGTGAGTGATTGGTTATGATGTGACCTCCGTGGACAAGTGGGATTTTGAATATTGTCGAAATCTATCACCTTAACTTTAGCTGACTTTTGGAACTTAGAAGGTAGGTATACATTATAGAACTAAGCACTAGGATAATCAGCCACCAATAGCACAGCTGCTCCAAGCACATCATATTTGTTCATTCAACCTATCCACAAAACAATTTTCTCCCGATTTTAATCATTTTAATCATTAAGTCTTTGTTTACATTTCTCAGAACAAACTACTTTACTTTACTCTAGTCTATTCCCACCTAGTCTTTGAATGGTATCTTTCTTCCATTTCTGACAAATGACTCTATTCTACTTTTTCTCCTGGCTTCTTTTTATGCCTTATTCTCATGATCTCCTACAACATGACAAGTGTTTCAGGTAAAGGAGAAACACTGATCTGAGAAATACATTTGTCTGGTAAAATGTCTTCAGCTTGTACTTAAAAACCACTGAAATGGCCAGAAAAAAAAACACAAATGTAGAAAAAGGTTTTGCAGTTGGATAAAGCAGAAGTGAACTCTCAAGAAAGATTATGAAAAGATAGAAGGAGCCCTCTAGGACTAATGATTTACTAATGCTATATCTTCTACTTAATATATAAGGCAAAAGGTACTCTGGGTAGGACAGAGGGGAGGGTATTATTGCTATGGGACATTGTTATTAGACTACACTTGTAACATTACTCTATAAATGGCACTTGCCAAACAGGTAGAATAAGCTTGGCTCAAATCAAATCACTTGCTCAAAAGGACAAAGTACTTGTTTTATTTCCCTTTGCAAGCAGCCACAGGTAGATGAAAACTGATAAGCTGCAAATTCAGTCCCAACAAAGATGTTTGCACAACTCAACAGAAAATTAGAAGGCTGCTCATGTCTAATTCCTTTCAGTGCACTGGGTGGACATGAACAGCTAAAATGCAGAAAAATGTATATTAAACAATGATATTTACTCTAAGATTTCCCTATTTGGGATGACTTGTGGAGGCCAATGAAATGCAAATAAGGGTTTCCCTTTCTGTATGCAATAGCAATAGCAGTTAGACTTATATACCGCTTCATAGGGCTTTCAGCCCTCTCTAAGCGGTTTCCAGAGTCAGCATATCACCCCCACAGTCTGGGTCCTCATTTCACCCACCTCGGAAGGATGGAAGGCTGAGTCAACCGTGAGCCAGTGAGATTAGGCAGGCACAAAATAATGTAAACAGAAAAAATACCTTACCTGCATTATTAGTTAAGCATTGCAATCTGGAAATAATGAGGCAGTGAGAAAAGACTGCAAGAATTTACTCAGTTCAGCAGACAGATACGTAAGATTAGAAGTGAAATAAGTTTCTTTCTCCCCCCCCTCCCCCCCCAAGCATTTGCCTGGAAGCACAGAGCCTATTTTATTCTGGATCAA